CCGTCTGTGCCTGCGCCAGGCTGGGGCCCTGTCCCTTTGGAGGGGTTCCCTGTCAGCGCTGACATAACCGCCTCCGGAGAAATGGCTGTTCTGAGAAGATCGGGACCAGTTTCAACTTGGGCCAGAGGGGTGATAGGGCCACAGGCTGAGGGTGGAGAAGGCCGGCCTGGCGCTCAGCCTCCGTCTCGCCGGCGCTGGCTACTGGGTGGCCGTGTACGTGCTGTGCCCGCACATCCCTGGCTTCTTGCCCACCCGCCTCCCGGCCCCGTGCCTTCCTCTCTGAGCAAAGGAGCTCAGCCGGGTGCCGACGGCCTGCATCTTGTTGCTGTGCCGACCCATCCAGCAGCCCTCCCCGGGCCCAGGAGTCGTGGGCTCCTCCCAGCTGCTGCTGCTTCGCCTCATTTCCAACCACTCGAGGAGCATCTCCTGTGCCTGTTTTGGTTGTGGTGAGCTCCTCGGTGGTCAGGCCGCCCCGGGACCGCCCTTGACCATTGCCCGCCCTCCTCCCGCCCGGCTAGGATGACCCCCTACGGCTGCCTCTCCACCGGGGACCGCACGGGCCTCATCGAGGTGGTGCTTCGCTCGGACACCATCGCCAACATCCAGCTCAACAAGAGCAACATGGCAGCCACGGCCGCTTTCAACAAGGACGCCCTGCTCAACTGGCTCAAGTCCAAGAACCCTGGGTAGGTCTCAGGCCGGGGGGACCAGTGTCCTCTCCTCCCCGGGAGGCGAGGTTCCGGAGGCAAAGGTGAAGGGACAGGCCTGTGACGTCTCCGTGGCGTTCGGCTCAGCCAGGGACCGTCCGGGTCTGTGTTGGGGTAGGGGGGGTCTCCGTGCCCCCATGTATCAGTTACCCATTGCTGTGTAACAACCACCCTCAACTTGGGGATGCAGAACAGCCTTCATTGATTGTGGGCTCAGAAAGCTGCCACTTGACCTGGCTCAGCCGAATGGCTCCGCCGGGACCACTCCTGCAGCTGCTGCCATCGGGGTGCTCGCTGGGCCTGGAGGGTGGCATGTCTGGGCCCCGGTGCCACCTCCTGCCTCGCTCCTCACTGCAGCAGGGAAGACTCGGGAGCTGCAGGGCTAGGCCGTGGTTTCCAATCTCCCCTCCTCCTCCTCCCCAGGGAGGCCCTGGACAGGGCCATCGAGGAGTTCACCCTCTCCTGCGCTGGCTACTGTGTGGCCACGTACGTGCTGGGCATCGGCGACCGGCACAGCGACAACATCATGATCCGCGAGAACGGGCAGGTAGGGGCAGCGGGGGGCTGACCTGTGGGCAGCACCCGCCTTCTGGCCCCTGCCCCGGCCTTTCTGGCTCCTTCTCAGCCTGTGCCCTTCCCTTCCGCCCCTCAGCTGTTCCACATTGATTTTGGCCACTTTCTGGGGAATTTCAAGACCAAGTTTGGAATCAACCGTGAGCGAGTCCCATTCATCCTCACCTATGACTTTGTCCATGTGATTCAGCAGGGGAAGACTAACAACAGTGAGAAGTTTGAAAGGTGAGGGTGCCTCAGACACCCCCACCCCCAAATGCCCGTGGGCCCCAGACAGGGTGCGAGAGGGGCTCTCTGCCCACCCCTGGAGGGTCCTGTAGGCGGAGCCAGGCTGGGGGTGGGGACTGCGTCTGGGGCTGTTTCCAGGCAACGGGTCTGGGTGGGAGTCGCCAGGAGGACCCAGGGCCGCCTCCCGCCTCCCGCGCAGGTTCCGTGGCTACTGCGAGAGAGCCTACACCATCCTGAGGCGCCACGGGCTGCTCTTCCTCCACCTCTTCGCCCTGATGCGGGCGGCAGGCCTGCCAGAGCTCAGCTGCTCCAAAGACATCCAGTATCTCAAGGTAAAGGCCAGGGCAGGCCGCCGGCCAGGCGACAGCAGTGCCCCACGCCCCAGGCCTGTCTCCCCGCAGTGTGACCCAGGGACCGGCCATGAGAGCGGTGGGCCCCGCGGGGCCCTCCTGATTGTGTTTCTCAGCAGCGGGTCTGGTGGATGCGGCGGAGGGAGCCGGGCCCTGTTGCCAGTGGGCATCTTGTTTTGAGGCTGGGTTTGGGCAGTGGTTCTCAACCTTCCTAATGCCGCGACTCTTGAATACAGTTCCTCATGTTGTGGTGACCCCAACCATAACATTATTTTCGTTGCTACTTCATAACTGTAATTTTGCTACTGTTATGAATCGTCATGTAAATATCTGATATGCAGGATGTATTTCCATTGTTACAAATTGAACATAATTAAAGCATAGTGATTAATCACAAAAACAATATGTAATTACATATGTGTTTTCCGATGGTCTTAGGCGACCCCTGTGAAAGGGTCATTCGACCCCTAAAGGGGTCACGACCCACAGGTTGAGAACCACTGGTCTAGGGGCCTGTCTAGTTTGGGATCAGCATAAAGAGCTCTTCCCAAGGGAGATGCTGGGGGCCACCCCCTCACTCTCTTCACACAGATCTCCTTGGAGGGAGCTGGAGATACCCAGAGAGGGGAGGCAGGGGAGGCAGGGGAGGCAGGAGGGGGGGGCCTCGCTGAGCAGGCCCAGGCTCAGCGCTCCGCGGTTCTGCCTCAGGACTCGCTGGCGCTGGGGAAAACGGAGGAGGAGGCGCTGAAGCACTTCCGGGTGAAGTTCAACGAGGCGCTGCGGGAGAGCTGGAAGACCAAAGTGAACTGGCTGGCCCACAACGTGTCCAAAGACAACCGGCAATAGCAGCCCGTCCGCTCGCTACCCCGCCGGCCCGGCCCGGGCAGGAGCGAGCCACGCGTCCTGGGAGCCGGCACCGTTGGCCGCCCGGGCCTGGGAGCCTGAACTGCCCGGTGGGCACGAACTCACTGCCTTTGTTTACACTGGTTATTTATTAATGACTTGAAATGTTTCAGGAACTAAACAGCCATAGCGGACGTGCACCCTTGTGCAGGGGAGGGCGCCGTCCTGCAGCCGGCCGGAGCCCTGGGCTCTGATGAGAAGACACTGTGAGGCAGCACCTGGAGGTGGCACCTTGTGGGGGACCGCACCCCGTCTTCCAGCTGGCGGGCCTGGACCCAGCAGACTCACCCCCCGGGAGCTGCCTTCTCCCACGGCTGCCGGGCGGCACGGGTTCTGGAGCCCGAGTTACCTGGTGCCTGCTGCTGGCCAGGGCGCCCAGCCGCCCGCTCGCCCCTCCACCTCGTGCTCTCCGTCGCCTGATCCTTGGCAGCTCCCCGAGGAAGCCTGGTACCCCTAGATTCAGGGATGCTTGCTTTCCACTTTTAAAGTGACTCTTGGGTACGGGAATCCTCTCATCTCTGCTGTAAAGTGGTTTTGTTTGCGGGTAAGAAAACAATAGCCAAACTACTCACTGACCCTCTGAGGGAGGGAACCTCAGCCCCATAAAGTATAATATATGCTGGTCCAGGCGCATTAAACAAGCTCGATTAGCTCATTCTGGTGGTGGATCAAGGGAAAGCAGGTCAGAGGACGTCGTGCCGTTCCCTGCGAGCTTCCTAAAGCAGGCTTCAGGGAAGGACGGGTCTCTTCCGGAATCTCACCTTTGAGAACCTGCCGAGCAGTCAGGTCCCTGCGGTGAGTTAGGGGTGTGGTGGGCCTTTCCGTGAGGTCTTCGTAGCCTGAGGCAGGCCGGAACCCAGGCCTCCAGGAGCCGGCAGCCACCCTAGCGAGCTAGCAGCAGGCTGCACTGCGGATCCCGCCGAGGCCTTGCAAGGCTCAGCAGAGCCCGAGGTCGCTGCCTCTCCCCAGCCCAGGAGCAGTCCGTGCCCACGGACACCACCAGCCACACTGCTCCCAGCAGGTGCTGCCTCTCAGACCCCCGGCCGCTCCGGACCGAGGAGAAGCCGCGGGTCTGTATTTAGGTGAAGGAGCAGCGTGCTCCCTGGTGTGGGCAGCTCACTGTGCACAGCAGCTTCTGGCCGGGCGCGCGGCCTGTGCGCCTGTGAGGAGAATAGTACCTATTTTTTTAAACGCTTTTGTGTTCTGTGGGGGGAAGTGATCAGCATGACGGTGCAGCTGAGGAGCAGCATGTGAGCCCTCGGAGGAGAGGTACAAGCAGCTGAAGAAATAAAAGCCTTTTCGTGGCATGTTGTTGGCGCGGAGAGGAACCGGGGTGCAGGAAAGACCACAGCTCGCCTGCTGGAGTTAGAACCAGAGCTTTATTGTAGTGCAGACACTTCCGACCTCTTTTCAACGTACACGCGGCTAAGACAGCCAGGACGGCTTATCTCCGCTGGCGTCTGTCCACGGCCTAAGAGCAGCTACAGTGACAGCACATGGAGGGACGGCCACAGACACACAACACAGTGTCCTCGAAACTAGCAGTTAGGGTCACAGAACAGTATTCAAAATTACGCCCCCCACCCCACCCCCGTTTTAGAAATCTGAAGTTTTACACGTAAATTAAGAACAAAGTGCTGTGGGTTTACTCATGCCTTTTGCCCCCTTTCCTTTCTCCGCCAAGCACAGCAGCGGGCCCCACACTCCTGGGAGCGGGTGGGCTCTGGGAGGAGAGCGGAGCTCAGGCCGCTGGGGTGGGGGCAGCGCGGAGGTCGCTCTGACGGCCACTGGGCGCCTGTCAGTGAGTGTGTCCCCAGACTCTGAGTGTGGGTCACTCGGGCCTGCTGCCGTCTGCAGACCAAGAGCAGACGGTGTGCCCCTCCCATTACCCACACGCCTCATGTACGTAACCAACAGCTAAGCATGAGCCCCAGGCTGCACACAGGAGTCCGGGTTCCTGCACAAAGAGCTGTGTGCAGAGGCCGGGACCCAGCGCTCACCTGCTGCTGCATGGGAAACGGGTGGGCTCCCAAAGACAGAACCTGGCCTTTCCAGCCCCCAGAGGGTCCCCTCCACCCTGGCCCACACAGGAGCGAGACCTGCGGCAGGACAGTCCGGTGCCCAGTGCCCGAGGGGGCAGACCCGCTCTTGTCTGGGGAGCAGGATCCCGAGGGGTCTCCTGCGCTCAGGGTTTCACACCTCACCTTGCGTTCCAACCCTGGGTTATACTAGCACGAAGGACACGAGGAATCCCAATTTATTTACAAAATATTAAAAAGTTCATCTACATATGAACCCCCATTCGGCCATTTTGTACATGCACTAGTTTGGAAAAAATTAAAAAAAAAAGAACAAAAGGATGACCCAGTGGGAGTGAGCAGTTTTAACCCTTTGTCACCGAGTCCAGGTTTAGCGTTTCTGGAGGCGCGAGGGGCCACGCGGAGCGAGATGACAGGAGGGAGTGGGTGTCAGCTCCTCACACAGCAGAGGTCCAGGCAGAGGGCAGGGAGGGAGCCTGGGTCCTGCACACCAAGCGGGGGTGACGGTCGCGAGGGGAGGGTCTGCAGACCTGCTGGCCGGACGACTGTACACGGTGGGCCTGGGCAGGGCGCAGCCGACAGCAGACTTCGGGGAGGCGGGAGGAGGGCGCGCTCAGTAGCTGAGGGTGGAGTCGTCCCACTCCAGCTGCTGCTGCCTGTTCGCCGGCTGCTGGTCCCCGTGCTCCCCCCCTTCCTCCTCCTCCTCGCTGCTCTCCGACTCGGCGCTGGTGACGTCGTCCTCCTCCTCGCCATCCTCACTCTCCTCTTCCTCTTCCTCCTCCTCCTCCTCCTCACTGTGCTGGTCCTCGTACGTCTGACAAAGAGACGGCCCAGTGAGTCTGGTCCCCAACTCCGCCCCAGCTCACAGCCCAACTACCCAGCTTGTTCCTGTCCCGGCCCCGCAGAGGAAGGCTCCGCGCCACACTCCGCAGCCAGACAGGCTGGGCTGTGCTCGGAGTCGTCTCGTCAAAGACGAAATGGAAAACAAAGCTTTGGTCTCCACTCCTGCTGGTGGCACGGCCTCAAACAGGCCTCTCTGAGGTGAGCCCCGCTCTGACCCTGGCCGCCTGCCGCGCCCACCTCCATGGGGTTCACGGTGATGGTCAGGGCGGAGTCGTCCCAGTCCATCTCGCTCTCCTTGCCGGTGTCCTGGTCCCGCATGGTGCGCTGGTGTGCAGCCCGGATCCGGAACACGCCCAGGATGATCATGAACACGAGGAAGCTGACGCACACCACGATCACCACGGTGGCCGTGCTGGGGACCACTGCAATGGGATGGACGGACGGGTCCTGGCCATGAACCCCACCGGGGCACCGTGCCCACCACCTCCCCCGCACAGACGCTGGACGCTTCCCTGGACCCCGTGGGACAACAGGAAACGGGAAAAGCTCAGCACCGCCCACAGCCACGCCCGAGCCTGTCCTCGGTTGGTGCTTCAGGCTCCTTGTGTGACCTGGACCACAGCACCTGGCGGCCAGGCTGCTCTGAGCAGGAGCTGGGCTCTTGGCGGGAGCGGGGAGGGGCCCACAGTCCTACCTGCGAACGGATGGGGGTTGGCCAGGTTGTGACCCGAGAGATCGACGAAGGAGCGATGCTCAGGGTGGACGAACTGCGGCTGGGCGGCCATGTGGCTGGCGTGCTCCATGGGGCTGGCCGTGTGGATCACGTTCACCTGCGGCAGACAGAGGCAGCTGAGTGTGCGAGACGGACATGCGCTCAGACGGACATGTCCCCCAAAGGGGGACACCAGCGGCCCCCAAAGCTCCCCGGACGGTGCTGGTGAGCAGGCGGGAAAAGGACAGGAGAAACCAAGGCAAACACTTAGACGCTCTGTGGCAAGGTGACACTGTCACCCCCAGGAATGTATCACTTCAAGTAACTCATCCTGGCAGCACTTTCTAGAAGAATCCGACTGGGGAAGAGCCACAGGGCGTCTGAGAAGCGCTGGCCGGGCTCTCCCTCGTCCCCGAAACCACAGCCGCGTGCAGGAGAGTGCAGGTCGCAACCGCTCATTTCCTTTTAAAGCGTGACCCTCTGGCTCAAAGCTCCCATCCACTGGTCTGCTGTGAGCTTAGCCTCCTGCTGCCAGGAGGTCACGTGGATGCGGGATTCCAGAAGTATGTTTCCCACAGAAGCCTGAGGGACAGAGGGTAGCTGAGGAGGCCCCAGAGACCCAGCAGGGAGAGGCCCTCTGGCTACCGAGTCACCATAGCAGGCCCTGGGCCGGCTCCGCGCCAGCAGCCTCACCTGAGCGAGGATCTCCTCACAGCAGCGCCTCACCAACTGCAAACAGCCTCACTCCCGGTGCTGCTCTTCCTAACGCAGGTCACACCTCAAACAGCCCTGGCCCCACTCCCTGCGCCTGCTCTCAGCTCGACCAGCTCCCTCCAGAGGCTCCAGGCTCTCGGGCTGAGGCACCCCATGACCTGTCCCACGCCCCCACGCGTGTCTGACCAGCAGCAGCCTCCAGGCTGGAAAAGGCTACACCCCTGGGACAGACCCAGGAGTTGCTGCCACAGTTGCTCTAAACATCAGCATTTGCCAACCCCAGGGCCACGCATGGGGCCCTTCTCCAGGGGAGCCTGCACTCACCTCCACCTGAAACTCATTGCTAATGTAGCGGCCATTGAGCTCGGAGCAGACGAGCTTGAACTTCCGGTCGAGCAAGGACCTGGAGTTCCAGTTCCGATAGCGCAGGAGGTGCAGCGCCTCCTCGTAGCTGGCCATGGTGTCCACGCCTGCAGGGGAGCGAGACAGGGCGGTGGCTGAGCTGGGAGCACGGCAGGGCCAGGGCCGCAGGCAAAGCCCGGCTGGAGCCAGGCACCGGGCTGCTGAGCCAGCGGTCACTGGCTTTCCAACTGTGGGAGGGGACCCAGAGTGTGCAGGGCGTCACCCTCCTGAGGACGTGACACGAGCCTGGCCTCGACCACAGTCAGGACGGGGCATGAGGCAGGGAGTGCTCGCGCCCTTGCCTGCCCCAGGAAATGCCCTCCAGGAACTCTGGGGCCCTGAGAGGAGGGCAGGGCCTCTCACCTGTGAAGACCACGCCCAGGTCGGAGCGGCTCACTTCTATGCCCTTATGCTGCAGGCGGGCCATGTCCACCTCCAGGCTCTCCTGCTCGGGGTTCAGCTCCTCGCCCTCCACGGTCACCTCACACGTGTCCAGGTCGTGCACGATCTCCTCAGACACCAGGGACTCTTGGACTGCAGAAGCAGTCCGGTTAGGAAGACCTGCCACTGGAAGGTCAGAATGGGGGACCCTGTCCCGAGGGGGGACCCACCAGCAGACGTCAAGCCAGAAAAATCAAAGGACCTTCCAAGTGGGTTTCCAAAGATCGCAATGAGCTCTGCCTTCGCGTCAGAGTCCAGAAGCGTCCAAACATTCAAGTCTCCCAACCCCCCAAGAACAAGGGCCCCAGGCGTGGGCCCCAACAGTGGTCTCGGCCGCTCAGATTTGAGACGAGGCCATGAGCCGTCCCAGGCTGACGGGCCGTACCTGTGGGGTCCTCGTCCCCTTCCCCGTTGGGCTCCACTTCTCTGGTGACGGTGCTGATGATCCGAAGCTCAGGGAAAAGGAAAACCCCCTCTGAGCTTTCAAATTCAGAAGCTGCTCGAGCAAAATGGTGGACGCCACTCAGGCTGATCTTGGGCTCCTCCGGCTGCAAAACCATCACTGAGCCGTCGACCGGAGGGACCAAGGCGCAGGCGGCCTCATTAAAACACCTGCACGGGGAGGGGAGGGGAAGGGAAGGGAAGGTCAGGGCTCTGAGAGGCACAGGGAGGGCACACAGGGCTGCCACAGGAACAGGAGACGCGGCCACTCCCAAGGCCTGCTTCCAACTGTCACCCACAGACGCCATTCAGACGCTCGGGGAACAAGGGACGGTTTGTCTCTTCTTACAGAGGGAGGCTGGGTTCTTAAAAACCGAAGTGCACACATTTCTCCTCCAGTGCCCGGGGGCAGACAGGCCCCTGGGAAAGCCAGCACACACCTGGCCGTGCTGGTGAGCCGGAGCCTCCGGACGCCGGGGGTGGGGAACTGCCGCGAGTTGAGGTAGGTCACATGCTGCAGGGCCTTCTCCAGCTCCCCCACGTCCTCCGCCTCCACCGTCAGCACCGACCGGCCGGGGTTGGCTTGGACCTGAAATCGTGCCAAAGGGAGAGAGGGGGAGTCAGGTTCTGACTGCAAGAAGCTGAAATCAGAGAAAAACCCTGTAATTCCGCTGACTGAGACCCTCTCCTGCAGGGCACCTTCTCAGGCGCACAAGTATGTGGTGTGAGAATGCGTATTTGGTCTTCGTCCTGGTTTCTGGCACAGGCGCCTAAGACCCTAGGAATTTCCTGAGACAGGAATCTTTCATTATTCACAGCAAGTCCCTCCCAACCACCCCAGAGTTTCATTAATGAGGTGACTCTTGGTGGGGCCCTGGTTTCAGGATGGGGGCTGGTTGCCAGAGGAGCTAACCACGGAAGAAGTTGAACTTCAGCCCCACCTCGAGCTATGGGGACAGGAGAGGGGCTGGAGAAGGAGTGGCCCACCAGTGGGCAATGTCAACCACGTGACGGAATCTCCATAAAAACGCTGAGCAGCAGGGTGGGAGCTCCCAGCTGGTGAACATGGGAGATGCCAGGAGGGCGACACTCCTGGGCAGGGCGTGGAAGCTTCATGCGCCCGCCCAAGCTCCTTGCCGTGTGCATCCCTTCTGGTTGGCTTTTCCTGAGTGTAGCCTTTACGATAAACTGTTACTAATAAGTAAAATGTTATGTTTCTGAGCAGTTCCAGGAAGTTGTTGAACCTAAAAAGGGGAGGGTGTGAAGACTGTGGGAAGCCCGGACTTCAGCCAACAGAAGTGCAGGGAACCCAAGGGCAGATTCCTGCGACGGGCCCTGAAGTGGGGGCAGCCTAGTGGGCTGAGCCCTCACTGTGAAGCCTGAAGCTAAATCCAGGAAGTGTCAGAATTAAGTTGCTGGACGCCAGGAGAGTGGGTGTCCAGAGAACTGGGGAATTGGCTGTTGTGAGAGGAACAACCCACACATTTTGTGTCAGACATGTTACAAGTTTAAACGGCTCAAGACCAATCACAGATCAATCCTTTGCCAACAGCCCCCTCCTTGGGTCTAGAAGCCAGGTGCATGCCAGTGTTACCTTCACGCCTCTGCCGCCGTCTTCGGGGACTTGCAGGTCTAGCCCCTCTTTGCAGGTGTACAGACAGTCAATCACCTTCTTGTCTGTGAGCTTCCCAGACCGGATGGTCAGGCCAGCCAGGTCACCTCGGAAAAACTGGGTCATATGTAGGTCACCACCTTTGGAACACAGGGAAAGGCGGGTGGTTAGGGGTGCAGCCCAGAGCCCCTGCTTCATTTCTCAACACAGTGTTACTGGTGGTGGCAGCTTGATGGATGGACATGCGGGTTAGTTCAGACCAAATCCTGTTAGCCTTGCAGTCTACATGGAAGTGCAATGAAGAAATTAACTCGTTTGTGATCATGCATGTGGCCAGGAGAGAAGAGGACTCGGGGGTCCCTCACCCGAAGCCTGGAAGCCCCATGAGTGTCCCACACATCTGGCCACTCACTGGTAAGGGTGGCCTAGCCCACACCTGTCACCACGGTGCACAAGTGACACGTCCTACTCGCTCCAGCCTCTGCTTGTCAGCCAGCTGGCTCACACTCGGGCTGCTTTTTCTGAGCATGCTCAGGGATATATACACATTATTTTTTGAGGGGGGCGACCCACACAGCATGACTAGGAAGAGGAAGGGATGCACTCAAGCCGCGGATCAGGCCTTGCAGGTGGCTGTGCCGAGTGCCATCATGACCGTCTCCTGCTACTGAGGATAACTGGGAAGTGAGGATGGTGGACAGAAAACGAAAACCCAGAAACTGGCCCCTGACAGACTGTAGCACAGACCCCTACACCTGTTCTTCCACTGACAGAGAAGACACCAATTTTCAGACACCAATGAGCAGGTCTCATTCCCAATAAGGACACTAGACAACACTATAAATCACTGCCAGGGACTGAGATTTCTAGGAAACATGTTTAAAATTTAATATTGCCCTGGCCAGTTTGCTTAGTGGTTAGAGTATCAGCCTGCACACCAAAGGGTGGCAGGTTCGAATTCTGTCAAGGGCACATACCTCAGTTGCAAGCTCGATCTCTGGCCCACCGGGGTGCAACCAATTGATACATCTCTCTCACTTCAATGTTTCTCTCCCCCTCCCTTACACTCTCACTCAATATATACCCTTGGATAAGGATTAACCAAAATAAAACAGAATTCAGTATCAGTCAGGTTAGAATATCTAAAAACGAATCTTTTCCTGTCTTGTGGTTCAGCCACCTGAGAACCCGGAGGTACCCCCAAACCTGGCCTATGAGATTTCGGCAGGGAGTCTCATGCAGTGGCATCAGGGTAAAACTGGATGAGAAAAATAAAAATCCCATTAGTGCACTGCATTAGAGTCATTTGCTCACTGTAACTGGGCTCCGAACAGGCAGAAAAGGGAACCCCATGAAGCAATGGTGGGGGTGGGGGGGGGGTAATGCAAAGCAGCTCAGATGGTGACTGGGACCAAAATGCAATTGGGCATTTCATGCAGAAGGTGCGATGACTCGACGTCTGTATTTAAATGAAAAGCAGTGAACCAGAGGGGAAAGTCCAGCAACCTGCCGGGGCCACAGGCACGGGCTCGGTTTCATTGTCACTTTCAACTCCTGAGTACTCTGCAGAGAAGCAAGACAAAGAAACAGGAGAGGACCCCAGTTAGGCTCTTCACAGCGGACCTTGAAAATCCCTACTGAAAAGCTACCGAATGCAAAATGCCGAGAGAAAAGTTCCCGTGTCCCCCTTGGGGGCATACTCAGCCTGGAAGCAGGTCTGTACTTGGTCGCCTTTTCCCAGAAGCGGTATTGGCCACCCCAGCTTCCTGGTACGCTTCTATTCCACCTCCCCACGCCCTCCTGGCCAAAACGGAGGTTGGATTCAAAGTCAGACGAGGAAGCGCCTGTACACTGAGCTGTCTCCTCAGCCTGGGCGGCTGGCGGCCACAAGGAGGCGCTCACTGACCGCAGAGACGCACCGACTCGGCACCACCCCGGCCCGCACTGTCCTACCGGCAGGGCCGCATAAGCGCCCACGGGCTGGTGTCCGCAGGGCTTGCAAAAGTACATCTCTTCAGAAAGCGCAAAACAAGTTCACGTCGGTCTAGACTTTAACCTCTCAGTGGCAGAGAAAAGAAGGCATTTTCAACCACTTTTACCAAACAGGGAGGGAGTCAGAGGTTAAGGAATTCCCCCGAGAAACAGGTCATCACCCACGGTGGGCCTGGGCTCTGACCACCCACCGCCCCTGGAAGGGGTCCAGGTCCGATAGGCATGCCCAGGGCCGGAGCACAGGACGTCCGCTCCCAGGCCGGGCTGTGGGGCCGCCTGTGCTCACAGCCCGAGCGCTCAGGGCTCCCGTGGCTCCTCCACGGCATGCCATCAGCCCGGCTCTCCATGGGCGTTTGTCAGGGAAGTGGTTTCAAATCCGCTGCAAGGGGCAACGGAGACCTTCCTCCCTATTAATTCCATCTTTACGAAGCTGTGCTTGGTTTGGGAGTTTAGGCAGACTTTTCTGGCTGAGGACGTTGAGGACCGAGGTAGAAAGCAACGGATGAAGGTGAAAATGGCCATTTTGAAGGCAGAACTACTGACATGAGCAGGGTCCCAGGACAGCAGGGTGTGATGAGGGGGATGTTTTAACCCAACCAACAAAGCTCCCAGAATGTAAAGTAACATTTAGGTTTGCCCTTGAGTTTGTATTTTTAAGATAATTTCTCAGAATTTTTTGTTTACTTTAGGAAGCAAATTTGAACGGAAAATTTAAGAACAGCAACTAAAAATTTCCGTATCCCTAATAATTTATTCCTCATTCCTTGGTCTCAATGTTTCACTTCCTCATGGATAAATTGTCACCAAAATTAAATACGGGAATTCACCAAAGAGGTTCGCGCTACATTACTGTCTTACTCCTTTTCATTTGAAAGGACCTGCAGGAAAATTATGAAATTCAAATTCCCATAATAGAAACAAAGCTGTCTTAGAAATCAGGCTCTTTCACAGATGTCTACCTCAAAGCACAATGTCTTCAGAGGGAGGAAGCAGGAGACCCACTTAGCAGGCGCCTGCAGGGACCTCACGCACGGTCGAGTCACGGGCCAATCGGGGCCAAGAACCGCGAAGGCGGAGCGAGGGATCCCTCACTTGAATGGGAAAAATTACAGGCTTCTCTTCACTAACTTCTCACAGTCCGTGTTCCTTTGGTTGTAAATGGTCAGCCACAAACCACAGTGGTATCAGCAGCAACGGCGACTCTGGCCCAGAGAAAGCGCTGCTCTTTCCCGGTGGGTGGCACTGCGGCGACGCCACAGGAACCGCCACAACCCGGCAATGGAAGTCACGCGGGCATCGGGCTGCCGCGGAGGCTGCTCTCCGGGTCTCGGAGCAGCAGTGTGAACATTTCACACATCCGGTCTGCTCATACTTTGGGAACTGCATTTCAATTTAATTGGTTCCCTTGGAAACCTGAGGAGGGTCCAGAGGCTTCCCCAGGCCACGGTAAGGGCTCCAGGCACAGGAAAGCTTGCGACCCCTGGTCCAGAGGTCAGAGCTCGGCCCTGGCACAGCGGCTTCAGGGCTCAAACCCCAGCGCCACGATGACTCAGCTGGGAACGGGCTCACTGCTGCTCAGGGCCTCGGTTTCCTCAGTAAAATAGGGATCCAACAGCTCCCACCAGACGCGCTGGAAGGGTTAGCGAGAGGACGATGTAAAGCCATCGGCACGCGGCCTGCACTCAGGAAGCACAGACCGAGGTGCTGTCATCACAGCCGTCCCTGGTCGTCCAGCAGGGACGTCCACGAACTCTCTCACACATGGCACTTGAGGTGTCCCCACCAGGCTGTCAAGCGCTAACGGCTCCAGAAGCGTCACCCGGCCAAAGCACACGGCCTTTCTGTGCCTGACGGCTGCCTCCATGCTTTCATAGACTTTTCCACAAGCGGATGAATTTATAAAATGTTCCTCAGTTACACCCGCCCTCTGTGCAACATTCCCTCCCAGGCTCCGAGGAAGTGTCCCTTAGCACACCTGCAGGGAGCGCCCATCAGTGGACGGCCTCGGTGATGCCCCAGAAAGACTGGGCCCAGGAAAAGGGGTGAAAAGATAAAGGAAAGGAGGGTGAGGTGCTGAGAAGAGCCTGCTTCCTCCGGCAGAGCAGACAGAATCACTGACTGCCCGAGCCTTGGGGAGAGGGGGTGCCCATGCCTGTTACCTTGCCAGCAAGCCCCAACCACGAGCTGAGTCTCGATCCTGGACGGGTGAAGTGGGTACTCCTCAGTCACCGAGAAGGGCTCGTGGGAAACTCCGTCCACATAGAGCGTGACCCGCGGGATTTCCACGTTGAGGACGTAGTGATGCCATTCCTCATCGCAGACCTGCGAGAGGCAGGGGGAGGGTTAGCACCTGGGTGTCCACCTCCCTCTCATCCAGACACAATGGCAGCACTGCACCCCGGTGTACAGGTGCTGCGGGGGTCTGGGGCATTCGGAGAGTAAGGCTGTACTTAACATACAATATCCCCAGCAATCCTCGGGGACAGGGGGACCACGCAGACCTGACCGAGAGCAGGGCAGAAAGGCAGTGGTTTCTGACCTGGGACGGCGGAGGGCCGAGGCATGTATTTTTAACACCATGATAAACGCTAGCCAACGGTCATGCTGACCAACTGTGCATTTGAAAGTAGTCAAGCCTCGGTTCTCGAGCAATTCGGTTCTCAACCAAGTTGTTCACAGAAAAAAGGTCTCAGCTGTTGAACAAGGCTTCAGTTCTCGACCCGACAGCCTTTCATGCTGATACCTGTATGATCAGTCATACATCTCTCAGGCGACAAACAGAGGAGAGATGCGTGAGTGTGAGTCAGTTTGCCATTAAACCTCGGGCTGTTAACATCTCAAGAAATTGTGCCGTGAATATTTTGGTGTGTTTTTGCTTTTGGGGGTCCGGAACGGATTAATTCCATGTGTATTATTTCTAAAAGAAAAAAATGGCTTGGTTTTCGAACAAATCACTTCTTGGACAGCCTCCGAACGAATGAAGTCCGAGGACGAGGTCCCACTGAACTTGCTTTCTCACTCAGAAACTGCTGGGAAAGGCATGACTCTATCGAATGGAATGTCACATGAGCTGACAGCAAACCCGCCAACTCCCTCAAGCTAGTGGTTCATGCGGCATCTGAAAAGCTGGAGATGGCTGGTTCCTTGGAAACTTTAAATGTTCCTTGGCGCCTGAATCCGCTGAGGCCCTGGGGCGCCGTGGCACCTTTTGGGAGGCAAAGCCTTAAGTAATGAATAAACAAACACAAGGATCTCAACCCCAATTTGTTAGCAAGGGCTGCTTTATAACACAGTTTTTTTAATTTAACACGTACAATTTGTATATTAATGTTTTATGTATGAAATACATACATGTAAAAATAACTTAGGCTTTCAGTGGAAAGGAGTTGATTTGACCCACAGACACAGAAATCGTAACACTGTAAGTATACACGGCTGGGAAGCAGCCAGCCCGGGTCCGGTGGCCGCAGCGGAATCGGCGCGTTTCCCATTCCCTCACCTGAGTGAGCTTCCAGTGGAATTCTGCAGGTTTGTACTTCTTCTCTCCTGAAGGATCCTGACGGAGAAGGAAAATAAACCGGCAGCCGTGGACAAAGAGGGAATAATGGTGCCGGTTCATATCTGCAGAGAGAAATGCGACTGGTAAAATTGCCAACTTAAGACCCAAAGGAGAAATAAAAGCTATTTCTTTAATGGATTTTGAAGACACAGTTTTATCAGCATCGATGAACTCCCCAGCTGGGCTAAGGCAGGGTCAGAAACAAATACACTTGGGTTTTTACTATCAAATGCCCAAATGCCAGGGGGATGTGTTAGGACAGGCCGCCCTGGTGTAACCATCCGGCCTCGGGGGAAGGAGTCCAGCAGTCTCTGCGGGACACAGAGCCCGCGCTCCCCCAGCAGCCCCCGCGGGGACACGGAGCCCGCGCTCCCCCAGCAGCCCCCGCGGGGACACGGAGCACGCGCCCCCCAGCAGCCCCCGCGGGGACACAGAGCCCGCGCTCCCCCAGCAGCCCCCGCGGGGACACGGGGCCCCCACCCGCGGGGACACGGGGCCCGCGCCCCCCAGCAGCCCCCGCGGGGACACGGAGCACGCGCCCCCCAGCAGCCCCCGCGGGGACACGGAGCACGCGCCCCCCAGCAGCCCCCGCGGGGACACGGAGCACGCGCTCCCCCAGCAGCCCCCGCGGGGACACGGGGCCCGCGCCCCCCAGCAGCCCCCGCGGGGACACGGAGCACGCGCCCCCCAGCAGCCCCCGCGGGGACACGGGGCCCGCGCCCCCCAGCACGTTCACCTGTTTTGTCGGAGCTGCAGAGAATCGTCTCCTTCCTGCGGCCGAAAGGCCCGTGCCTCATCCACACGGACACCGTGAAGGGCTCTTTGGGGTTGACGGAGACGACGCCATCCGGGATGCGGACTGCCTGAGTGCCGTTGAACTCGAAGACCTGGTCGCTGTCGTGGCCGTTGTCCGTGGGGAGGCCCACGGTCCAGTTCAGGGAGCCGCTCGGGGAAGGGAGCAGCTCGGCAGTGCCGGACGCAGCCCCTGAAAAGCACAGGAACTCGGTTCGCTGGGGGTGAGCGCTGAAAAGGCACCGCCTTGCCAACCCGCACCGACGCACTGCCCGTGTCTCAGGGTCTATGCGGTAGCTAGATCCACTTCATTTTTCTCAAAAGGAAGGGTTTTTATGACAAGCAAAATTTATAAGTGCTAAGCGTGGATATTTTTTTAAAAGCTAGGAAGAAAAATAAACCTGTAAACCACAACTAACATTTGCATATGAGCACTTCCAGTCCTCTATGAATATGTGCATTTTATAAAAACGGAGGCCTGTGTGCACGCGCACATTCCCAGTCATCGCACGGATGTGCCCTAGTTCAATGACCTGACCTCCCTGGTGGATGAGGTTGTCCCATGTTTTCCTAGGATAAACCTTCCCTTGATGCACACCTTTGCGTGTCTCCATGATCATTCCCTTAGAAAAAATTCCTAGAAATGGAATTACTAAGCAAACAAAGCATGAAAAATTTTACAACTATTGTATGTATTGCCAAGCTCAAGAAAAAAAAAATTTGCAGAAGATTTTGCAAGTTCTCCTGGTCCTCACGTCTCAATTCCCAGGAGCTGCGTGACCTGGCTGAACAACCTGGTCTCTCGAGTAACACTGACCTCAGTCCAAATCCCAGTCGGCCACCTCCTAAAAGTGTGTCCTTGGGCGGGCGACAGAGCCTCCCTCCACCTCCATGAATTCCTCCGTAAGAACCATACCACCCCCGGCAGACAGTGAGCACTCAGATACGGAATCCCTACCATTCTTCCTACCTTTGAACTCTCCTGCTGAGAAAGTGTTCATTTAATACCATAAAAACTGGCACTATGAGAAGGTAGTTTCATACATTATACTAATATTCACAGTTTAAAATTAGAGCCCATTCCAGATCTCTCAACTGACAGATTAGGTACATGATTATGAATATTTAGACTCAGTCATAAAACTCCTGGGTATGTTCATCACTGGGGTGCACCAGCAGACAATACACTTTCCCTTTTTGCTTATTCACCATGTAACCATTTCCAGTTAGTCACGAACACTGCTGCTTAAATCTAGCTGCTGTTAGCCGGCCAGAGAGAGGACGGAAAATGCTCCCCGCAGAGCTGATGCTGAATAGCTCCTGAAACACACTAGACTGGGGGCGGGCAAACTTTTTGACTCGAGGGCCACAATGGGTTCTTAAACTGGACCGGAGGGCCGAAACAAAAGCATGGATGGAGTGTTTGTGTGAACTAATATAAATTCAAAGTAAACATCATTACATAAAAAGGTACGGTCTTTTTTTTCAATAGTTTTATTCATTTCAAACGGGCCGGATCCGGCCCGCGGGCCGTAGTTTGCCCACGGCTGCACTAGACCCTTCTGGTATGAAGAGGCCATGTAAGTCACTGGCATCATCTCACCAGGCAAGTAAATCTTCTTCCTCAGCATTTTCCATGACAGGCAGCCATACCTCCCATTGAGATAAACCAGGAAACTTCCCGTAACCAACGGTGGAGTCGGAGCCAGCTTCCTGCCAGGCCCCAGTCTTGCTGCCTCTGGCTTCTCCACCCCAGGCCTGGGCATATGATTTGTGGATATACTTCTGCACCCCAGGCCTGGGTATATGATCTGTGGATATATTTCTGCACCCCAGGCCTGGGTATATAATCTGTGGATATATTTCTGCACCCCAGGCCTGGGCATATGATCTGTGGATATACTTCTGCACCCCAGGCCTGGGTATATGATCTGTGGATATACTTCTGCACCCCAGGTCTGGGTGTATGATCTGTGGATATACTTCTGCACCCCAGGTCTGGGTATATGATCTGTGGATATACTTCTGGACCCCAGGCTTGGGTATATGGTCCGTGGAGACCGTAGTTAGATGTGGGTGCTTTTGGTCTTGATTTTCTTCTTCACGTTTGCCAAAAACTACTGCATTACCTGTAGTTTTTTTCTCCAGTCCTTAAATTATCATCCCGTTTCATTTAAAACTACCTCCACATATGTGTAATTTCTATTTTGATGATTTTCTATGTATGGCAGAGAAATACTGTCTTCAAATCAGTGGTTCTTAAAAAGGCACATAAAATAACGTTTTGAACAGACTTCCACGGGGTCATGGACCCCCTGAAGCCCACCAGGAGGGAAATCAGCTGGTGAGGCAGCAGCAGCCGTGTCAGAAAGTTAGAGTCTGTTTTAGCTCATGATCGTGAAGCAACACACACACACGCGCACACACGCACACACACACACACACACGCACACGCCCACACGCACGTGTAGGGTCCCTCTCGCCCTCACTGCAGACCGCAGGCCTCCTTACCACAGAGCCGGTGAAGGGACTTCTCAGAGTAGGTGTCGCGGTCACAGCCTTTTCCTATGTGGCTGGTCTCCAGTTCCACTGTCACCTGCACCGAGGCCACCGATTCGTCACACGTCTCCAGGTGGGCGTTTGGGAAGAGAGCCAGGGCGCCCGTGCCAGGCTCATACTCAACCCTGCTGTCCCATCCTGCATCGGCCGGGTAGAGGGAGAGGGGGAAGTTCACACATCAGGTTCTGTGCCTAAACTTTAAGAACAGGGGTGAGCGCGGAGACGAGAATGGGGCTCACCTTGCCACCCGGGGGTGCAGGTGGGCTTGATGCTGATCTTTACCAACACGTCCTCGCTGGCCCTTTTCTTCCCGCAGTCGTAGGCTGTGACCGTCAGCTTGTACTGGTGCTCCTTCCCGTACTTCAGCTTCTCTGTGTTCTTTATGTGACCTTCCAGGGCGAGAAACAGTGAGGACCCACACCCGGGCTGGTCTCCCCTCCACGACCCTGCTGACACACACAGCACTCGAGGTCCCAGCCCCGGAAGCACCGACAGGAAACACCCAAAGTCACGACACTCCCCTGGCTTCCCGAGCTCTACACTAAACCGTCTCGGAGCCCATGCAATTCAACTCCATCCCTTCTTACAGACTTTTGTTTGTTTTTATATTTACTTGAAGATTTACATATAAGAGAATAAAAGACAAAATGATTCAGATTCTTCAAATATTAAATACAAGACCAAAGCTGCATTAAATACTTGTTACAGACTTACATTATTAGCGAGCGAGAGAGGTTTCCTACCCCACCCACCCGAGAGAAGCCAGCTTTTGACCATGAACACAGGTGTCTGCAAAGCGTTTGCCGTGCTCATGATTCCAGCAGAGAATCTGGCCTGCGGGTTAACGACGGAGACATGCACGACCCTGAAGCCGTAACCCCATAGAGAAGTTAAACTCTAGAATGAGCTGATCTCGACCTGTTCAGTTACTGAGAGTCTGGCAATGAAGGATAAACCTTCACCTTCAGGACGAGGCAGAAGATTCAAGTCTAATGGAGAACAGAAAACTGGGCCCAACGAAAGGTCCATCTTACTCAGATGCACGCTGGCTGAAAAGGGAGAAGATAAAAAATAGCCACATGCTGGGCAGGGACTTCTATTAGACTTTGAAAAAGGAACGGCCCCGCCAGAGAACACCTGGCGTCCAGGGGACAGAGTAAAAACTTAACTGGGAAGCAGACCCCGCAGCAGGTCTTTGCTATGGACTGAGTGTTCTTTCCCCGAAGTTCACATGTCAAGTCCTTACCCTCCGTGTCATGGTGTTAGGAGGTGGGGCCTTTGGGAGGAGCTTAGGTTTAGGTGAGGCAGAGGGGGGAGTCCTCATATTGGAATCAGTGTCCTTATGAGAAGAGAGGAGACCAGAGTGCCCTGTCTCTCCCACCAGTGAGGACAGCAAGAAGGTGGCATCTGTAAGCCGGGAAGCAGGCCCTCACGAGACCCTGAATGGAATGGCTCCTAGATCTTGGACTCCCCAGCCTCCAGAATGTGAGACATAAATGTCTGTCATTTAAGCCACCTGCTTTGTGGCATTTGTTCTAGCCGCCCGAATGGACTAACTCTCCGGTCTATGAGTTTCACTGAAGTACAAAGTTTGGGTTTGAAGCTGATCGGCTTAGGAGGGACAGTCTGCCGGGACCATCCCCCTGGCAAGGAACGCTGCCCTCTGTTCTCACCATCTTTGTCGACCGTGAATGGCACGTCTGGAGTGACGATTTCGTAGCTGCAAATCTGGCTGAACTGAGGGGAGCAGTCGGCATCCACAGCCTCCACCCTCAGGATGCTCTCGTAGCGCCTCCCCTCCACGACTGACGCCTGGTAGGACTTCTCCTTGAACACAGGTGCGTATTCGTTCACATCGTTCACCTGAATGTGGACCGTTGCTCTGGAAGAGGAGAAAAGCTGTGGGCTTTGCTTGTTTTATTATCCCCCCAAATTGTGCCCTATTTTCAAATTTCCTTTCTCTGATACATTTTATTCAATTTTATCTATAATAATAAAAGGGTAATATGCTAATTAGACCAGATGTCTTCCGGGCGTCATTCCAGGTCTGAGTGCCGGAGGGAAGCCGGTGCCGACAGCCGGGGGAAGGAAGGCCTACTCTTGCACAAATTTTTGTGCATCAGGCCTCTAGTAGGAAGATAAAAAGTAAACTATTCATTGTTTTTAGTTTAACCTGGAGATACCAGAAAAGTTAAAACAGGAATTTGGGTTGATCCTTCCAGGTCTAGGAATAAGGCACCTGGTAAGAAGGCAACAACACAGTCTGGCCAGCGGCTCATGTGGTCAAGTGTCCCAGACACCAAAAAGGTTTCAGGTTCGATTCCCGGTCAGGACACATACCAACATTGTGGGTTTGATCCCCAGCCGGGGTGAGTACAGGAGGCAACCGATTGATGTTTCTCTCTTTCTGCCCCTTCCTCTCTCTAAAAATCATTAAAAACATACCCTCGGGTGAGGATTTAAAAAACAAAAAAGGCAGTAACACTGGGATTTTCTTTCACGACGTGGGACAGAGCATGCAAAAGGGAGATAAACTATACCAGATATCTGTTAGCTCTGTTAACACAAAGTTAAAAATATTTTTTTTTCAAAATTCAGAAACAACTAGAGCCAAAGGAAAAAGGGCTAAGAAACAGATGGAAGATGGGATACGGTGAGCATTAAAACAAGGCTGGTCCTGCTTCCAAGGAATAGAGACCATTAGTAACCCGTGGTTGGGACCCCACCTGCCGTTGATCTAGCAAACGAGGGACCTCAAGGTGACCTCAGTGTTGCCCTTCCTGGCGAACCCCGTGCTGCCAGCTTCCATCTCCCCAGCTTGGGGATGAGAAAACGAAGGCATCGTCAGAGCAGGCTCCCCAGGCAGAAAACTGCGGGCCTCAGGGCTTTGGATCAGGGCATATTCTGAACCAGACAAGCTCTGCAGTCAGCACCCGCATTATTCACCAAGACCCTCTCTACCCCTACACCACCCATCCGCCACGCTGACCCTCACAACAGTTATGTGACATCACCTCAGCACGTGCCCTCTTTCCTCAATCCACGTCCTGAGCAGAAACTGAGACTCAACAACATTAAATCTGCCCAATGCCAAGGGCAGGTGAGTGGAGAGGAAAGACTAGATTCTTTTTTTATTTTATATTTTTATATGTTTTTATTGATTTTTAGAAAGAGCGGAAGAGATAGGGATAGAGCGATAGAAACATCACTGATCAGCTGCCTCCTGCATGCCCTTGACCGGGAATTGAACTGTGACCTCTTCGTTCCTGGGTGGAACACTCAACCACTGAGCCACAGGGGCCAGGAAGAGAAGAGTCTAACTCCATGTCTTGCCCAGGGCCCTCTCCACTAGAGGGCCGTCCTCGGCTGGCAGGAAGGCCATGCTCGCTCCCAGGGCAGAGCCCACCAGCTGGCTTTCTCTCCTCAGCTCGAATGAATTTCACGCCCTCAGAACTTACAGACAAAAGACACACATACCTACAAACCTCTTCCTAGGGCAAAGAGTGGGCTGTCGTGTTTTCTCAGTAGGGCCTTGGTTTCTCTACTAGGTTATTCATTCATTTACAACGACCATGGTCCAGGCCCTTGCTGGAGCCGTCTACAAGGGTCTCTGCTCTAACTGCTATGTCCGATGGGCACCTGGAACTCCCTTCTATTTCACAAGCACCGAAGTCCTGGGGCAGGAGAGTAACGGTCACTGCTGTCCTCACGCTCCCTGCCCGGCTACTTACTTGTGAGACTTCTTGGCGTTGGCGCTGCCATCGGGCCCCCTCCCGCAGTCGTAGGCCTGGATGGTGAACGTGTAGTCTTTCTGCAGCTCACAGTCTAGTTTCTCTTTTGAGCGAATCAGTCCCTCGCCCGTGGACTTATCCACCACCACTGCGTCAAAGGGCACATTCTGCCCGTGAATTTTAAATCCACAAATCTCACCTGGGGAGTCAAAGCAGCGCAGGTTAGAATCGCTGCCACCGAACCAAACCGGCTGCAGCCAGACCCCTCCCCCGCCAAAGAAAATCCATGACCACATGGCAGCCAGGGGTTGAGAGGGTCTGTGGGGAAGCAGGGCGCTGTGCTTGGCGACAGGGTGAGTTCTGGGCTTTAGTACAAAGAAGCAGGTCTGGCTTTCCAAGCAACTCATTTAACTTTGCATCCATTCATGCAGGAATACAAAAGAGAGAGAGAAAATATAGACAGGCATTTCACAGGAGTACTTAGGACAGCTCCAGGGCAAAGTGGTCTCATTAGCAGACTGCCAAGGCCTGATAACACCAGAAACTGCCCAGGCTGCGGGGGACAGCTGGGCAGCTATTTTGGTTTGGACCAGAGAGAAGGCTAAAACACACAGTCAAGTGTTGAGAGAGGAAGAAGCGTGAGATATAGGTTCAGCACCATAATTACAGAAAGTCTGTAAAAAAAAAAAAAGTCAGAAGAAACAAGTCTTCCTGTGCAATGAGCCTGGCTAAAATTAGGGAATCAAAGCAAACTACTGAATGAGAAAGGTAGAAATACCAACTTTTCAGGCATCCATTTCAACAGCTAGCATCTACCAGTACGGTGCAGTGCCCGCCATGGGGAGAGACCTGCGAGACTGGCCCTTGTTTCGGACTATATCCTATCAGACCTGAAAAGGAAGCCTGCCTGGGAACTGAAATTCGTCTAAGTTGGCTTACCAGCTTAATTAGGAGTTAAAAATCTACGTTTCCATTCTTGCCCATGGGAGAACAAATATAAACGTTCTAATGTATAAGTAAAACGTCACAAAATGTATTTCACATAAAAATAAGACGGACCTCTTCCAAAATTACAACCAATAGAAAATGGTTACGAAGTGAATCTCTTAAGTTCAATTTAGGAAAAAATGTACAGTGTTATCCATATAGTTCAAATGGATGTCTGATTTCCAGATATTTCTAACCAAGGGTTTGGTTACATACAGTTTCCATCAATATATTTAAAAATAGAAACAAAATAGAATAAAAGGGATAAAAAAGCATCACAGCTTCTTCTGTTTAAGGGCTGATTCCCAATTTTATAAACAAAGTTAGTGGGTTAATATTCAAAGAGGGATAGAAAGAACCCTTTATCACCTTCTTTGGTGACTGTCACCTCAAAACTCTCTGAAGGGAGAAAAGATAAACCCATGTCAGTAATACAGGAAAGAATGAAGACGGAACAATAAGGAAAAAAGTCAAAGATGCACATATTACATAGAAAAGCTTGACACAATTTAACAATCAGCTCAGTAAAATTGCTAGAGCAAAACTGGACCTTCAGTAACAAAGTGTCTCTTTGAATCCTACTTACCAGGGACTCCTGTGTAATTTTTGAAATTGCACTAATTACCCATGAAATAGCACAGCCACAGCTTCCTAACACCTTCAGGTGCGTCAGACATCCTAACAGTTAGACGCACACCTATTTGTTCTTTCCAGTTTCCAGCTTCTCCCTTTCAATGTAAGTTCTTGTGGGTAGAGTCTGATAACATTCAGTTCATCATTAGAGTAAATGAAACAGTCAGCTGGAGCAATGGGTTTTATGTTCAATCCTTTGTTTATGAGCTGAGTAAATAACAATGTTTTCTAATCTAATCTTGTTCTAATGCAACTAAGGCAACAAATAAACACCTCTCTGAATGGAACATATGCTTAAGTGGGAACTGAAACCAATTCAATATGAACGGTGGTGATACTACAACGGCCACGGTCTTTACTGAGGGAAACGCTAGTCTAGCAGCCCATATATACCTGCTTACCTCGCCCCGGACCACTGCAGGAGCGAGGTCAGGGGCCTTGTGCCCCCCACTCACTGTTGCCTCCCAGGGCATCTGCTCTCCCCCAAAGGCATCACAGTCTGAATCCCCTTGCTTTTAAAAATGGTTGTACCATATGTTTGTATATCCCCGAATAGTGCTGTTTTATTTTGCTTGTTTTTGAGGTTTGAACAATGGTATCACATGGTATAGAATGCCCGCCGTCTCATTCAGCCTGAGGGTCTAAGACAGTGATGGCGAACCTATGACACACGTGTCAGAGGTGACACGCAAACTCATTTTTTGGTTGATTTTTATTTGTTAAATGGCATTTAAATATATAAAATAAATATCAAAAATATGTCTTTGTTTTACTATGGTTGCAAATATCAAAAAATTTCTCTATGTGACACGGCACCAGAGTTAAGTTAGGGTTTTTCAAAATGCTGACACGCCGAGCTCAAAAGGTTCGCCATCACTGGTCTAAGATCCATTCATCCAGGAGGGCACACCCAGCTGCGGTGCATTCATTCACTGCCGCGTAAGAGGGAACCAGTGAGCACACCCAGGTCCAGTGCGCAGAACGCAGCCTGGCACAAAGGAGGCCCCAGCAGTGTTCGCTATTCCCAGTTGGTTCCCGTGGGCACTGTACCACAATGCCTGTTTCTGCTGTTCATGAACGAGCTATAAGGGACAATTCTGTTTGTGGTTCTGGCTGCATCCACACAGTGTCTCTCTAGATCTGTGCTGGCCAATGCCCGTGCCGTAGCCACCAGCCCCACGGGGCTGTATCAAACTGAATTAAAATTCATGTTAAAATTAAATATTAAAATTCAGTTCTTCCTCGTACTGGTCGCATTTCCACAGCCGCATGTGCCTAGTAACTGCCGAATGGAGAATGCAGACGCCGAGGGATGTGGATGTGCTGCCCCAGGCGGTAGGCAACCCATGGCCTTGGGCCAGATCCACCTGTGCCACATTGTTGAACAGCCTGTGTGCTAACAATTGTTTCTATCTTTTAAAATATTATATGAAAATAATATGACATTCACATTTCTGTGTCTGTAAGCAAAGCTTTATTGGGCCCACGCACTGAAGGTCAGAGGTTCCATTCCTGGTCATGGGCACCCTTCTCCTCCATCCCTGATGCACAGTTGTGTTATTTACACAACCGGACAGTTACATACATGCAGTTACTGGCATTGATTACACGGAGTTACAGCATGGTGCATCTCCACCCCTTTGCATTCTCGGTCCTCTCTCCTAGACTCACCTTTGCTCAACCTCTGCAAGGAAGGCCTCTCAGAATCACCTATCAGTCTATTCTCTTTCTGTCCGGCGCTTTCCCACTCGATTCAGACCATGTGCACCTGCTCTGCTAGGTAAGTCCACCTGAAACCCTACCCCACCAGGCTTCCTGACGACCTTTCCAGCTATATTCGCCTTGGATGGACCAAACCTTTCCCATCTCTCTTCCCCTCATTCCCCTAAGATCATCTAAAACAGTCAAAAGGGCCCTAGCTGGTTTGGCTCAGTGGATAGAGCATCAGCCTATGGACTGAAAGGTCCCGGGTTTGATTCCAGTCAAGGGCACATGCCCGGGTTGTGGACTCCATCCCCGGTGGGGGATGTGCAGGAGGCAGCCGATCAATGATTCTCTCTCATCACTGATGTTTCTATCTCTCTCCCTCTCCCTTCCTATCTGAAATCAAGAAAGATATATTAAAAACAACAACAAACAGTCAAAAGGACCCTGGCCGGTATGCTAAGTTGTTAGAGCATCAAACCATACACCCAAGGATCTCGGGTTTGATTCCCAATCAAGGACTCGCATACCCGGGTTGCAGGTTCAATCTCCAGCCCTGGTCAGGGTGTGTGCAGGAGGCAACCAATCAATGTGTCTCTTTCATCAATGTCTCTGTCTGTGTCTGTCTCTCTCTCTCTCTCCCTCTCTCTCCCCCTACCTTCCTTCCACTCTCTTAAAATAGCAATGAAAAAATATTCTCCAGTGAGGATTAACAACAACAAAAGTTAAAACAGTCAAAAAGAACTTTACTGCAGAATTTTTAAAAAGCAAAACATAAAACTGTAACAATGGGTACAGATTTGACTTCCTGATATCCAAAGTCGCGTCCAGGGATCCTGTTTACAGTGTCAGCCCTCACTTTCCTCGTCCGTCCCTCTGAGAAACCTGGGCTTCAGGCTGGCTTTGCATTCTTTCTGAGTCTCCTTCCGAATCTGAGTATAACCCCAAACTGCACTTTCTGCCCTGAGAGCGAGGGTGTCTCCAGAGCCTAGCCCATCGTCCCCCCGCCAACTCTCAGGTCACCTGCCTATGCTGCACTCCTCCTGGAGGCCCTGAGTGCTGGCTCCAACCGTTAGTTTTGTTAGTGGCCAGCAACAGAAATCCATTCCAGCTGACTCAGGCAAAAGGGGCTTCACTGAAAAGCGGTCACGAACTCACAGAATTGGCTGCAAGCCAGAGAAAGGAACCTGGAAACAGCAGAAACCAAGGCCGCTCGAGAGATCAGGAATGGGGGCCTGACCAGGCCCAGAGCAATCTGGCCTGGACAGAGGGAACGCAACCTCAGCCAGTCTCAGCATCTGTGGCTCTCCAAGGAGGGAGCGCCTGGCAGCCTCGCCTGGGCTGTGCATGCACTTGGCTGGGAAGGCGGGTAACGGACTGAAGACCCACCGATCTGGCCCCGGGAAAGGGACACCCGCTGAGCAGCATCCACTACAACATCCCTGCTAACCTGACCCTCCTCCCTCGCCCTCCTGTCCACCCGCCTTGGCGCCCACACTCTCCAGCTGGGCACCAGGCTGCTGCTTATTTCTGGTGACTGGTCCAGGCTCGTTTCTGGGACCTAAATCATCAGTGCTCTGAGAAGAAGGGCCAACTTTTATGCTTCTTTTGTTCTACAAGGACCTGGCATAAATACTTAATATTTAATGATTATTGATACCAACCTTTCCTGGAGGCAACTGTATCCAAAATGAGTCCCCGCTCGTCAGTAACTGTTTAAGTTTCCATCCTAACATCCAGATACTTACTTAAATCCGCTACTCAACGAATTACTGCCTTAGAGTAATTAGGCTCACCCACAGGCTATTTCCAGTTTTCCATTTTTTTCAAGTACTGTGATAGTTTCGACATATAAAAATGGCAATTTCATGGGGCTTCACCAAATATGTCCAACTCATTGCTGCAAACACAACGTCCGCCCATCGCCTGCCACAGTTAAAAAGGCAGTGCTGGGGGGCGAAGTGCAGTGCAGGAGTCGGCCCCATCGCCACCCTCACGTAAAGTATAACGAGTCACATAAAGTATACAGAATATGGAGAAAAGGATCACACACCTGAGTTGGTTCTAACAACAAAAATAAAATCCCCATTCTTGCCCTGAAATTTCTTTTGGATTCTATTTCTATCGCAACTGTTTGCCTAACCTTGCAAACTCTGTACTCGGCTGGAAAGCAGGAAAAGGTGCTGGGGTGAAACCACCTACTGAAAGGAAGAGCCTGAAAAGGGGGACAAGGCGGGGCACTCAGCCTCTGACGTGGGCAGTGAAGAAGGGACCACTGTCAAAAAGGCAACCACGTGGCCTGCGTAAGGGGCTCAAGCTCCCCATCAGGTACACAAAATGGGCAACACAATTTCTTACCCGCCTCTACTCAGGCTTTTAGTACATTAAGGAAAAGGGGTTGAATAAGAAACTTATTTTAATTTCCTGAACTACTTGACAAATACCAAGATTTTACTCTCCTATTTCACCCCAAGAAAACAATCTGGGCAAGACCCTGCATTCAATACGAAGGTCTGATGAGGGACAATTTACGACGCACTCTGGTGACTAAGGTGCCAACATCAGCCGTGGACTTACTTCAGAAGTCTGACAGACAAGCAATCTCTGGTGGGTACCCGCACGTTCCTGATGGGGTAGGACTGCGAACCAGGATGTTTACAATGTTCTACAGAGAACGTTGTGAGAGCCCACAGTGAACCTACGAATGGAGGCTGGAGTCGGACCCCCTGGCGGGAAGGCGACTCTATCACTTACGAGCTGTGATCTTGGGCAAACTCGGTCATTCCACCTACAATATTTATGGAGTGCCAACTAGTGCCAGTCGCTGGTCTAGGGCCGTATACAGCTGACACTGCAGAGTACAGAGGCCCAATCACTTCTTAGGATGCAGGGAAAGTCAGGAATGTGTAGGTCTGCTCAAAAGCATAAACTAGATAATCCTACTCAAGTTATTCACACAGCACTGACCGTCACTCACACAGAGGAGCATGTGTAATAACTAAATGTGGCTGCAGGGGTGCGTGTACAAGTATATACACACAAACACTCAAAATCTATTCGTTCCAGAGCACACCGATGTGCAATGCTAAAAATGATGACAAATCTGGGGGAAGGAAGGAGCAGAGAAAATCATCTCAGCTGCTGCACGAGCACTGTGTATGGATTCACGGCATTGAGCGCGTCCTCTCCTGTCCATCCAATCGGATTTCTCTCTAAAAACCAATCAACAAGCAACACTCCTGGGAAGGTCTGTGTCCACCGCGGACACACAGCACAGCTGGTTCTCAGGTTACTTTCCCGAACATGGGCTGTGGCACGTGAAGGGAATGAAGAACAAATTTATTGTTTAAATCAGCGGTCGCCAACCTTTCGGACCGCACAGACCACCAGTGGTCCGTGGACCACTGGTTGGCGACCACTGGTTTAAATAGCTCTTCAGAAACACATCCACTTTCCTCAACGTACACACTGTGAAATACGGCCATGCACCCCCTGATCCATACAAGGTGACTGAATCCTTCTTCCTGGTCCCCAGGCAAACAGCACACACTAACGTGAGAAATTTGGACCTGGAAAAAAATGCCACGCAACAACTACTCTTCTAAAATTCACTGTGACCCTGAGGCAAGGCGAGGGTGACGCGGCACAATTCACGTCAGTCGGGGAAGTTACTATGGACACGCGGCTCAAGCAAGAAATGCTCTGAACTGCAAAGTGCTATTACATGTCAGCAAAACAGCCAGTCTCCAAGCGGTCCCAGATCTGCCGCTGTGGTCAGGTTACAGCCTTATGAAATGCCTCCACTTTAAAAATTTATTGAAAGTAAAATCTGAGCCACAGGATTCCTCTACAAAGATTGCCTGACGTTTTCGAGTAAGTCTTTTCAGGTAAGTGAAACCGAGGAGGTGCGAGAGGACCTTGAGCTGCAGTTCCCCAGATCCTTGCCCCTGGCGGACCCGCAGCACCTGTGAGCAGGTCAGAAGGGCAGGAGCTCAGGTCCCCCAGACCCTCTGGATCCAAATCTGCATTTTAACACGACCCTTCGGTGTGCTGTGTGCACGATTTTTTGAGACACACTGGCCTAGGTGTTATCTGTCTGATGACATCGAGACAAGGACTAGAATAACGTGATGTAATATTGTGCTTTTCAACCACATGTACAGGCTTTTTGGTCAGGTGCCCCAACTTTTTAAAGTAACAGGAAAAAGGATGGTGCCCGGGAGCCACAAACCACCCTCGGCCATCGGACACTTTAAGAAAGGGTGAGAAACGTTCCCAGTGCATCGCCCCCAGTCCCGGTGCATCAAGAGCGAACAAACTGCGCTCCTACCTGCGAAGCGCAGAGGGGCGTCCTTGTCCAGGGCGATCAGCGGGGGGTCGAGGAGCACCGCGTTGTCGTTTTCTGTCACTATGCCGTGATAGGTGGGCTCGAGCCAGGGCTTGTGCTTGTTAGCTGTGTTTAAAAAGGAAAGGAAGTAGGCAGGTTAGAACACCATCACTTTTTTTTAAAAGATTTTTTAAACTGATTTTGAGAGAGCGAGGGAGGAAGCGAGAGAAACATTGATGTGAGGGGGGGATGGGGACTGGCTTCCTCCTGCATGCCCCCTACTGGGGATCAAGCCCACAGCCGGCATGTGCCCTGACCAGGAATGGAGCCGGCAACCTTCCGGTGCACAGGACAACACCCAACCCACTGAGACACACTGGCCAGGGCTAGAATGAGTATTTTAAACTCAACTGCTTTCGAAGACACATCTATTATGTCTGAGCAATAAGATTCATTGATCTGGAAGGCAACACTTGCATTTTTTGTTGCAGAGTTTGGTATCAAGACCCAAATGTCATGAATTTCTAAATTCCAGAGTGAGTAATGGAGAAACTATATGAGTCCAGGAAGAAACCAGATTCTGCTCTACAAATTAAAGAAGACAGACTGATGGCCAGTAGACAAACTCAAACTGTTTGGGGCCTATTACAGAATAGTGACAAAGAAAAGTGTTATTTCTTTATGACAATATATTACCTATTTAAAATTAGCATTACAAAGACACAAATTAGACAAGACTTATGAATATAAAATTATAAATCCAAGGTATTAAAATAAAATAAAATGCAAATTCCTGAAATAATCCTGTTTAAGAATAAATAACCCACTTTGGAGTCAGGCTGACGTGGGATCAGATTCCAGCGTCCTCTATCTTTACTGAGTGACCTTGAGCAGGTGTAACTGACCTCTGGGTGGCCTTGAGTAACCTCTCAATCTCATTTCCTAGTTTGTAAGCCAGCCCCGCCCCCTCCCGAGAGGGTTGGTGCCATAACTGGAAGAGGGGCTGGCACCGAACTGCTACTTTTGTTTTTAAGGGAGAACTGTGCTGTCTGGCAGGCGCTTACCTGGTTCCATCAGTTTTTAGTTCTGATCCCCCCTGTTTTGCCTGGGCCTGGCTTTGTTCGGGTCACGGCAATCACTTCCTCCCTGAGCGCTCGCTCCACCAGCACATTTTGGGCTCCACCTCAGAGCTGGAACTCTTTCATTGTCTTTCTACTTTCACCTTGAGTGTTACCAGCTCTCCTTATATCTCAGGTGTAACGTATCACATCTCAGGATATGACTAACCATAGAACTCCTCAATTTAGCTGAGCTGATTAAAAGGGTATGGAACTTTATGACCAACTAGAGGCCCAGTGCACAAAATATGTGCAGGGGGGGAGGGTCCCTCAGCCTGGCCTCCGGCCCGAGGCCCCTCCCCTCCCTCTGTGTGGCCGGGGCACAAATGCTGGGCTCGAGTTGCCGGGGCAATGCCTCCAGTGTCCCGCCCCAGCCACTATGGGCGCCACCATCTTTGTAGCGGAATGATGGTTAATTTACATATTACTCTTTTATTAGCTAGGATAGGTAGTGCCTATTTGTTGAATGAACTACCAGACCCTGTCCCGTGAGTGCACATCAATCCAGACCATCTGAAATTAAATGTAAATGTTTAACTTTGTCGAATACGACAGTCCATAAGGGGATGCTGCTTTCCTGCTGCGGGTGATGACCGTTATGGAGCAACAGGAGAGCGAGCCGGTGAGAAGCACCTGGGCCTCACCTGCAGCCCCTCCAGCGCAGTGCACGACCGGCGTGTGGGAGGGAAACAAGCTACCAGCTCTGCAATGAATGACGCATCCATCAAACATTCATGCTCGCCACGTCCAGCCCCAGCAAACCTCTGCTTCACTTTCACAGTCACTGCAGACCCACAGGACCGGCCTAATGGGTACAGAGCTGCAGTTTTGGGAGATGAGAAGAGTTCTGGAACAGGCTGCACAACAATATGAACGAGTATACTTAACACGACTGAACTGTACACTTAAAATGGTTACGACGGGAAAATCCGTTCTACGTTTTACCGCATTTAAAACTCTGCGCACGCAAAATGCTTCTCACCGGGACTTATTACAAGAGCCAAGTGGCCAAGCGCATTCTTGCCCTCCTGACAGATCTAATCTAAACGGTATCTTCAAATGTGTGCACCGAGAACCGGCCCCACCAAAAGGTCCTCACAGCATTTGTTTATGTGGGATCTACCTACCTATCTAATTGATCTAACTACCTACCTATCAGAATTCACTGTATTGGAAATTAAAACCAAGATAAATTTTAATATTTATTAATGCATTTAAAAAAACCATTATAAGTTAGCATAAGTACCGTTTTCATAAAAACTGCATTTTTAAAACAAAGCTCGCCAAGAAGAGCGGCACCCCTTCCATCCTGCGAGCTTTCGCTCACTGTCCAGCCTCACAGGAGCCAGCTGGTCCCCGCTGTGCCTCCGGCGGCCGTGCCGCACTCGCCAGGCAGCCTCCGAGCCCTCGTGAGGCTGAGGGAAGGCAAGTCGATGTCTTGATATTAAAATAGCTTTGACCTCTCCCGTCCTCGGCCAGAGTCTCAGGGCTCGTCACCTCACTTCAGGTCTCTGGTCAAATGCTCCCTTGTCCAGCCCCACCAGCACCCGCTGCTCTGGCCCCACCGTCTCCTTCTCTGCTGCTGCTCTTCGCCACCGTGGGCACAGCGAGGGCAGCGGGGCCAGCCTGGGACCTTGGGGCAGGTAGCTGGCTGCCTCCGTGGGCCTGTTTCCTCAACTGTAAACTGAGGACAGGAACAGTACCCACCTCACAGGTTGCGGTGTGATCAAACCCGTCACACATGACAGGCTGACAGTGTCAGACAAAGGCGATGCCACAAGGTGCTGCTGTGTCATTACCTTCTCCTCTTCCACTCAGACATGGACAAAAACAGATTCTGGGAGTGGCTGACCTGCTGTTTGCTAACTAGCATCTCATCATCGGGAAGTACCAGGCCAATGAATGAGTGTGTCAGGAACCTTGTATATAGTACAAATAAAATCAATGTCCTGGCCCAGCCAGCATGGTCGACCTATGAACCAGGAGGTCACGTTTCAATTCCCGGTCAGGGCACATGCCCGGGTTGCAGGCTCGATCCCGTGTGGGGCATACAGGAGGCAGCTGATCCATGATTCTCTCTCATCATTGAGGTTTCTATCTCTCTCCCTCTCCCTACCTCTCTGAAATCAATAAAAATTTGTATTTTTTAAAATTTTAGTCAGTGTCCTGGTTTGAAATTCTCTCCTAGAGAAGTAGTTTTGGTGCTGAGACGGAAAAGCAGGTATGTCTTGGTGTTGTGAACATTGAAAGGTGTTACTTTTTGTTTCTGGCAGGTGGGTAGTCTAAGCAAAGGAGAGGAGAGAAACTAGTGATCCACGTGCAACCAGGGACCTGTCCGGAAAGGTGAGCTGTGCTTAGATTATGGAGGGACCGACTAGAATACCAAACTCAGATCAGAAAGGCCGAGATTTAAGGAGCCTTTGGAAAAGCTCTCCCCACACAAAAGCTGCCCTGGGCCAGGAGCCTTGGGAGAGAAGAATTCAGAAGTTCTGGTGCACCTGCCCTTCTCCTTCAGCAGCACTCCGAGGGCGCCGAGCTCACTGGGGGAACGCTGTGCAGGCCGAGTCTGCGGCAGCCCTCGCCCCGGGAGGGTCCTCTGAACACAGGAAACAGCCCCACTCTGCAGCCGGCTGGAGCTTCTCCTAACGGCTGGATCTCCCACTTCTCCAGACAGCTCGTGAAACCTGCTCTGTAACCTGCTACGGCGCAGGCTGACGGCTGCCTGGGCTACAGGTGTGACAGGTAAACAGGCCATTGTGAAGAACCTCCAGTTTGTCACTGATTTCTCCTTTCAAAACACAGAAGCTATTAATTCAACTTACTATTAGTAATGTACCATTAAAACCAATAGTAAATTCCAATTTGTTTTCATATTTCAAGTTTTATTAATAAAACTAGAGGCCCGGTGCACGAAATTTGTGCACAGGAGAGGGGGGCCTGCACCCTCTCCAATCCGGGACCTCTCGGGGGATGTCTGACTGCCTCTCGCAATCCGGGACCAGTGGCTCCTAACCGCTCGCCTGCCTGCCTGCCCAATCGCCCCTAACCACCTCTGCCTGCCTGATCGCCCCTAACTGCTCCCCTGCTGGCCTGATTGCCCCTAACTGCCTCTGCCTCACCCCGCACCCAGAACCCAGGATTCCCTCCTCCAGCTGGTCGCAGGCACCCGGGACCCAGGCTTCCCTCCCTCTGGCTGGCTGCAGGCACCCAGGACCTGGGCCGGCGTTGCCAGGGCCGGCCGCAGCCACAGAGGACTGTGGGCACGCGGCTTTGCCTTGGCCGCAGCCACAGGCGCCCGGGACCGTGGAGCGGGCGGCTTGTCCCTCTCCCAGGCCACAGCCTGGCTGATCTCCATTCCTTTCTTGCGAGCTCATTTGTGCCTGGCTGGTCCCCATTCCTCTCTCCCCAGTGTTGAGTGTCTGAGCCGTTACGGCTGAGGGCATGATGACTATTTGCATATTAGCTCTTTATTATATAGGATTATAAGCAAAGCAAATGAAACTGAAGATTATTCCAATCTATGAGTCCGTAAAACTCCTTAGACTTTAAGTGAATTTTTCTAACCCAGTAAGAAGGTAAAAATACTAGGCAAAGTGCAGAAAATCTAAAATAGCAGAAAGTATTAAAAGGTAGTAGCATAAAATGTGTATTTCTGCTACCCTAAATGATAGGCCTGCAACTGAAAATTACTAATGGTTCAAGGCAAAAAAATAATTTTATAGTGATATTCCTAATTCTCTTATTTTTCCCAGTATTCTAATTTTATAATTCAGATTTTCTAAATTGCTCCTTTAGGCTGGAAGTAGAATGAAGAGAGCTGGCCAGTTTCAAAGACTGAACTTTTAAATATTTAATAAATGATATTTTTAATATTTCATCACATTCAATTGGCATTATAAAATATTTATGGAGACAAGTGACTGATGTTTCTGTAATCATGCGAAAGGAGCCCACAGATAACGCGGAGAGACTAGCAGCCAGCAGGCTAGGAACAGGTCACCGGTGCTC